GTCCTCTGTATCTATACATCTGTTTCTGTTTTGTTATGCTTGTTCATTTGTTTTATTGTTTACATTCCACGTATAAGTGAACTCATGCAGTATTTGTCTTTCTCTGTGTGACTTGTTGCACTTAGCGTAATACCCTCTAAGTTCATCCATGTTGTCGCAAATGGCCAGATTTCATTCTTTTTTGTGACTGAGTAATATTCCACTGTGTGTGTGTGTGTGTGTATACACATATACACACACACACACATATATATATATACACACACACACATATATATATATATCACATCTTCTTTATCCATTCATTTATTGATTGGCACTTGGGTTGCTTTTAATTACTTTTTAAAATAAACTATTTATTTTCAAATAGTTTTAAATTTACAGAAAATTGTGAAGATAGCCCAGAGAATTTCTGTATATCCACACCCAATTTCCCCTGTAATTAATATCATATCTTAGTACAGTATATTTGTTACAATTAAGGAACCAATATGGATACAATAATATTACCTAAAACCCACACTTATTGAGATTTCCTTAGTTTTTACTTAATGTCCCTTTTTCTGTTCCAGGATCCCATCCAGAACACCGCATTACACTTAATTGTCTTACCTCCTTAGGCTCCTCTTGGCTGTGACAGTTTCTCAGACTTTCCTTGTTTTTGATGACCTTGACAGTTTTGAGGCGTATTGGTCAGGAGTTTTGTATAATGTCCCTCAAGTGGGATTTGTCTGATGTTTTTCTTATGATTAGACTGGAGTTTGGGGTTTTGGGGAAGGAAACCACAGAAGTAAAATGCCATTCTCATCACATCATACCAAGGGTATATTCTATCCACATGGTTTATCTCTCTTGTGTTAACCTTGATCACCTGCCTGAAGTCATGTTTGTCAGGTTTCTCTACTTTTTCTTTTTTTTGGCCACACCGCGCAGCTTGTAGGACCTTAGTTCCCTGACCAGGGATTGGACTCGGTCCCTCAGCTTTCACTGCTTGTGGAGTCCTAAGCACTGGACCACCAGGCAATTCCCAGGTTTCTCTGTCTTGAAGCTACTCTTTTCTCTCGATTTGCACACTGTCCTCTTTAGAAGGAAGTCACTATGTGCTACCCACACTTAAGGGGAGGGGAATTACACTCCACCTTTGACATACTCTCATAGTGCTTTTTGTTTTTGCTACTTTTTTTTTAGCATTTCCGGCACTACAAGACGCTCCAGGTTCATCCCGTATATTTCTTGCCCCAGTCCTAGATTCAGACATTTCCTTCTCCTTTTTCTTGTGATGAGAACTTTTAAGATCTACAGCCTTAGCAACTTTCAAATATGCAAAACAGTGTTATTAACTGTAGTCACTGTGCCACATACATTACATCCCCATGACCTTTTGTTGTTGTTGTTTTTGGCCACACCACGCAGCTTGTGGGGTTTTAGTTCCTTGAGCAGGGATTGAACCCAGGCCCATGGCAGTGGAAGCGCGAAATTCTAACCACTGGACTGCCAGGGAATTCCCCCCATGACTTATCACTGGAAGTTTGTTCCTTTTGACCACTTTCACATATTCCACTCAGCCCTCACCACCACCTCTGGCAACCACCAATCTGTCCTCTGTATCTATGAGTTGTTCTTTTAAATTAATTAATTAATTAATTATTTTTGGCTGCGTTGGGTCTTCGTTGCTGCACGCGGGCTTTCTCTGGTTGTGGCGAGCGGGCGCTACTCTTCATTTGTGGTGCAAGGGCTTCTCATTGCGGTGGCTCGTCTTGTTGCAGAGCACGGGCTCTAGGCGCGTGGGTTTCAGTAGTTCGGGCACGTGGGCTCAGTAGTTGTGGCTCGCGGGCTCTAGAGCGCAGGCTTAGTAGTTGTGGCGCACGGGCTTCGTTGCTCTGCGGCATGTGGGAGCTTCCCGGACCAGGGCTCGAACCCGTGTCCCCTGCATTGGCAGGCGGATTCTTAACCACTGGGCCACCAGGGAAGTCCTATGAGTTGTTTTTAAATTATTAAAACAATTTTTTTAGATTCCACTTGTGAGATCATAGAGTGTTTGTCTTTCTCTGTCTGAGTTATTTCATTTAGCATAGCGCCCTCAGGGTCCATCCATCTTGTTGCAAATGGCAAGATTTCTAGCACATTTTGACCCCACTTTCTCAGAGACCAGAGGACGAAGCTCTGGAGCTATGTATTCTAAGGGACCTCCGTTCCCTGATGTGGCCTCGTCTTTGCAGTGCAGTTGGAGGGTGTAGAGAGGGGTCTAAAGGAAACGGGGGCAGCTGCTGTGGGGAGTGGCAGGGAGTCATCCAGAGGTGAGCTCTAGATTACCATGTGACCTCAGTCAAGGGCACCTAGGTTGTGTTGTGCACGGTGCAGGCAGCATGGTCTAGGGCCCTTCCCCAGCAGAACCCCACCTCTGTGAACAGAGGAGATGCCGCATGCTGAGGACCAGAAGAGCAGAGCAGAAAATGTGGTTACACACCACTGGGAGATGGCAAGGACGTCACGGGAAAGGTCTCCCAGGCATTAGGCTGGGGAAGGAGGCAAGTGAAGTTGAACGAGATTGAGTCGGAAGGGGCTGGTGAGGGTGTGTGTGCAGAGAGCAGACTTGACAGGCAGGAGCAGGGAGCAGCCAGGCCTGGCTGTAGCTGGGGGGAACTTTTGTTTTAGAGTTTGGATGTGGAGGAATGTGATGTAGGCATGTTTGCATACATGGTGGATGCATGCATGAAGTAGATATGTTTATTAAGTGTATGCTAGTTCATCTCACTTTTCCAATACAGGGCAGTCACGTGCTAAAATCCTGGGATGCCCCTCACATCATAATCTGGGTGAATGATGCCACTTTTAGTTGTTCAGAGCACAAACTATACATGGGGCTCTGCTAAGTGTGGTGACGGTATAAGCAGAAAGGTAGGGGGATCCAGATATAGTTTTTTTTTTCTTAAGATTTTATTTTTATTCATTTATTTATTTATTTTGGCTGCGCAGGATCTTATTTTGGCACGCGGGACCTTTTAGTGGCAGCGTGCAGACTTCTTAGTTGCGGCATGCGGACTCCCAGTTGCGGCATGCATGCAGGATCTAGTTCCCCGACCAGGGATCGAACCCGGGCCCCCTGCATTGGGAGCGCAGAGTGTTACCCACCGGACCACCAGGGAAGTCCCCAGATATAGTTTTTGGACGTCAGAGAAGCCATTTAAGCCTAAACCGTTTTGTGATCTAAGCCTGGCCACAATGCTTGCCCTTGAACAGGTCTCAGTAATAATGATCGTGAGGGAACAGAGGAACGGAATGACTTAGGCAAGAGAAGTAAGAATGGCAGAGATAATAAATCAGTTGTAGACTCCCAGTTCTGGTTCAGGGGTAGAGATTAGCCTGAAGCACTCAACCACCAGCTCCACTGGAACCTAAGAGATGGTGATGTTGACCTTTTCTGGCCCTTGTGACTTCAGTCAACTGAAGTTTGGCCTCTGTTGACTTTTGCCCAAATTCCATGCTGAATTCTCCTCTGCTCAAGCCCCGTCATGAATATGCATGTACCCTTAGTTTAGAACGTCCCCAGTGTGGCTGTTGGGGACACACTGCTTTGGGAAAGATCTCCAGGGTCCTCCTTACTCGCTGCAAGTAATAAATCGTCCCTTCTCCTGCTCTTTGGCTTGGTTGTGTCTTCTGGTTCGACACCCAACAAGAGGGGAACCCAATTTTTAGGTAACAGTAATGAGTTTACCATCTGTGGGAAGCACAGTACTTCACCCTCATAACCTCAGTCGTCCATACAGCAGCCCTCTGAGACAGGCACAGTCACCCCCATTTTTTTTTGGCCGAGCCATACGGCTTGTGGGATATCTCAGTTCCCCGGCCAGGGCTTGAACCTGGGCCATGGTAGTGAAAGCCCAGAATCCTAACCTCTAGGCCACCAGTGAACTCCCTGTCACCCCCAACTGACAGATGAGAAAAAGGAAACTCTGTTAGAGAAATAAAATAATTTGCCCAAGGCCATCCAGCCAGAAGTTGGCAGCATCTTCCGCTAGGGCAAGGGACAAGGATGGGGTGGGGTCAGCATCTTGCTGGGCTCCCCAGAACCAACTGGGCACTGCTGGGTTCTCTCAAAACTCAAAAGACCTGCTAGTTTTCTGGCCTCTCCCAAAGGATCCCTGACCCACCCAGGGACCTTTGCTCCTTCGCTGCTCTGAGGAGAAAAGGTGGTGGTAGAAAATTAGGGTGGAGGAATCAGTCTTAAGACCCTCATTAACAGAGTGTGACCTTCTCTCTCAGACAAGACTGCAGAGGGGAGAGGATGGGAGAAGAGAGTGGCAGGGCTGGAAATGATTCCTCGGGAGGTGGTGGGGGAGGCAATGGAGTGACAGTGATGGGCAGTTGTCACAGAGGAGGCAGGGGGCAGGGCTGGTGCAGGGAATCAGTCACCAGACCCAGGAAGGCTGGAAGCCCCCCACACCCCCAAGCATAAGAGGAATGGGCATGTTTAGTGCAAACAGAAGGAAGTCTTGGAGTCCTTACTGCAGGAGGAAACGAAGCTAGCTACCCTGGGAAGCTGAAAGTACACAGACCCAGGACGGATCCCAATTCTTTTGGGGTTTAGATTTATTCGACCCTAATCTAAGGGAATTTGGAAGCGGTCTGTATGCGAGAGGCTGAAAAGCTCGCAGGCACAGTTCCCCAGAGCGGGAAGCCACGGAGCGATCTGGAAGGACAGGAGAAGTGCAGTTGGGGGACACTGCTGGTGGTCTCAGTTTTCCCACTGCAGCAGGAGGCTGGGGGCTGGAAACAGGGGGCATCTGAGGCAGAGACTCCAAGGTCAAGGACTGGTGAACCAAGGATCCCTCCACCCTTCCGGTGAGGACCATAGCCTGGCAGTCAGCAGTTTTTTAACAGTAAGAATGATTTGAATCTGAACACCGTTAAGGCAGGAATGAACTCACCCACGGCCACTGTCCCCCACCCCTCCCAGCCACACATCTAAGAGGGTCAGTTCCTTTCTATGGCTGACTCCTGCCGGTGCAGGATTTTTGACTTTTGCTAGACCAGCAGTGTCACCTTTGGAGACTCCAGTTTGAGGAAGGAGATGGGAGGGGCGGTTCTAGGTCCTGCGGCTCAGCCCTCCCGTCGGATGCTGCTCTGGGTACCGCGCTGTGTACAGTTCACAGACAGGGACTCTTATGCCTTTAGCATCCCAGCCGCTGCCCATAAATGACAACAGCGCCCTCTAGCTTCTGTGACAACCACACATTTCCAAATGCTCCCTGGATAGGGGGTGGTATCACCCCAACTGAGAGCTCTTGGGTGTCCCCTCTTTGGTACTGAGGAAATGACTTACACCCCTGCCAGTCTTTTTCTGGCATAGAAACACAAGAGACACAGAAGCCAGTGGCATGAACACATTCATTATAATAATGCCCTTGAGTGGGGGGGAGAAGGGAGGAGCCATGAAACAGGCCAGCGTTGAGTAGGGTAGGAAACGTGGACAGCCTCCCCAGCCGGGGACACCGCAGAAGTGTCACTTAATCTTTAGTGAAATGTACTCAGAGAGGGAGGGAGACTGTGGGGGAAAAACACTTTGCGCTGGGAGGGTGGGCCTGGAGGTCCTGCTGCTGGAATAAGCACGGCATCTCGGCCGTTCCATCAGCAGAGACCGCAGAGTTGAGCGCCACAAGGAGCACCCCGGCCCCCAGGCCAGAACCCGGCGGCGGGGTGGTAGTGGGGCGGGGCGGGGCAGGGGGCGGGGCCGATGGCGGTAGGAAGCCAGGCTCCCGCAGTGACTAACCCCACATGGTTATCTGCAGCCACTGTGGGGCAAGAAGAACATCAGAGGATGGGTGAGGTGGTGGTGGGGCATGACGTCTGGGGAAAGGGAAGGGCCAGTGGAGCCGCGGGGGTGGGGGTGGGTGCCTGAGTACTGGCTGAGTAAGGCTGGGTACATCCTTTCCATGTACCTGGTTCAGGTTCAAGCAAATCTGGCCAGTATTGTTAGGGTCCATGGTTAGAAAGTACGCTGTTTCAAGGAGGAGACAAGGGAGAAGGGTTGGGAGCTGAGTCAGTGGTCTGCAAGACCCCTTCCCGACTAGGGAGGATGTCAGAAAGGGTGTAAGAAGCCGTTCCTTCCCTCTTCCCAGCCAAACCCCCAGCCCAGCAGGGAATTAATGGTAAGGACTCCTACAGCCTTGCTCTGAACCAGGGCCTGTTCTGAGTGCTCTCCAAATACTATCTCATTTAATCTCCGCCTCCATTCTATGCAGGCTGTACTGTTATCTATATTTATAGGTAAGGCAACAGAGGCACAGAGAGATAAAGTGACTTGCTCAAGGCAACAGAGCCAGCAAGTGGTGGAGCTGGGATCTGAGCCCAGATCATCTGTGCCTGGTGGAGGGGAATGGTTCTGGAGCAGTGCTCTTCGTGTGGGTATGTGGGAGAAGGCCGGCGGTCCCCTGGCCCAGGGTGGGGAGTGGGCAGGCGCCTGACTCACTGAACATGGCCTTCAGCCTCAGGAAACAGCTGATGAAGCTGTCAAAATCCATGATCATTTCGTCATTTGCATACCTGGCCACCAACACCTGTGTCACCTTGTTATTCAGTTTGATGCCTGGGAGAGAGAGGAGTGTGGAGGGGGAGAGTCCAGCCCTCTGACCGCCGCTGCCTCCCCCGTCCCTGCCCCAAAGCCCTCTCCTGCCCCTGGCCACCTGCTTTCTCAATTGCCAAGCGCATCTCATAGGAGTTCAAGGTGCCTGAGTGGTCCTGGTCACACTCTCGGAAGATGTCCTGAAGCGACAAGACAGATGTGGTAGGGCCGTGTGCATGGCACGGTGGCTGAAGTGATGAAATGCTTCACGACTGCTACCCAAGACCCCGGGGGCCCCCTACGCTGGCCCACCCGCTGAGCTCCAGTATTCCTATCACCTGGTGACTGTGGGGTTACTTCCTGGCACCCTGCCCGGGGCTCTCTGCCTGTATCCTTTACGCTGGCTGATACCTGGACTGTGCTGGTTATTGAATATTTTGACTAGTTAATACGCCAACACATCAACGGCTCCATCCTGGGGTGTGTGTGTGTGTGTGTGTCTAGTCAGGGGCTCCTGTTCGAGCTCCATCCTTGCTAGTCCTCTTCCCTCCGGAGGACCTCTCTTTCTTACCTCCATAAACTGCCCCCTCAATGCCCTTTACCGTCCATTTCTTGATTTTTCTCCACAGGATCTGGAACTCCTGAAGCCCCAGTTTGCCAGAGCCATCTTTCTGGGAGGTAGTCAAGGATATAAGAGGAGGGCGGGGAGGGCATCCTGGGGGCTGGGAAGCAGAGGGACTCACCGCGGTAGGGCACAAGACCCAAGGGGCCTGTATGGTAACCATGGTAACAGCCGGAAGACCTGGCGTCTTTTGTTACCCCAGCGCCTAATCCCCACCCGGAAGGAGGGCATGGCTGGTCAGAGATGGCCACCTTAGGGCCAGGCTCAGGGGTCGGGGGCTGGGGCAGGAGAGCACTGGACAGGGCTGCCCACTGGACAGGAAGATACATCCAAGAGGTTGACCATACAGCGGCACACGTCCAGGCTGAAACCCTTGGTTTTGAGGTTTTTGACTGTGAGGGAGGGAAGGGGCAGGAAGAAGGGGAGGGATGAGCAGGGTGTGGTCGGGGTTTGGGGGGAGAGGTGGGGGGTGATTAAGGGTGGGGGGAAGGGTTGTGAGTGGGGGATGGAAGACTCACCTTCGGAGAACACCTTGTTGAGCAGCTTCTGTAGCTCATATATGCCCACCTCCTTGTCCTAGGAAGGGGGACCGTAAGCCCCGGCTCTGGCCCCTTCAGCCCCAAACCACCTCCTTTCAATCCCCCAGCCCTCTGCCTCTCACCTCTCCACCGGCCACTATGTGAAACAAACGTATGAAGTCCTGGTCTATGTCATTCTCAGAGATGTTCTCCTGGAGGGAAAGGAGTGGGAGAGGGACACAGTCCAGAAAGTTCTTCCACACCCCTACATGCCGCCCCCAAATCCCACCCCCCACAGCCTCCCCTCACCTCTTGGAGAAGCTCAGCGATGTTGGCTTCATCCAGTTCCCTGGGCAGAGGTGGATGAAGGTTCGGAGTGAGCAGGGGTCAGGGAGACAGGGATTCCAGTGGGATGGTCAGGGAGGTCGTGTCGTGTGTCTGCAGCAATACGGAACGGGCTCCGTGCGATTTGGCTTCTGATTCTGGCTCTGCTACTACCTGGGACTTCCCTGCCTCATGCCTAAGTTTCCCTGACTGTACAATAGGGACGGGGTCAGGGGGACCCAGCTGACTGCCCCCTGAGCTTGAATCTTACAGCTCTGGGGCAGGTGGCCTTGGAGCAGTGAGGTGGGGCCCCTCACCAGGACTCGCTGTGCTTCTCCGTGAAGACCCTGAGCAGGAAGTCAGCATCCTTGTGCGGCTCAAGGGTGGAGGGAATGATGATGTATTCCCCCGGAGGCAGCCGGAGGTGGCTGCTGACCTCCCGTGAGTTGGTGAAGATCTCTGAGAAGCCCAGGTCCTGATACTTCACGAAGAAGTCCTTTTTCAAGTGGACGTCCTGGAGGTTCTGAAACTATACGTGCCCTGGAGGTGGGTACAGGGCCCACAGGGGAGGGCAGGGAGGGAGGGACCCCCGACGGTGATGCCCGGCTGGGCAGGGCTAGGGAGGGCCTGGGCCCTGCCCATCTGGCAGGTAACCCCAGTGTGGTCGTTTCCTTCCCTGACCCTCACTCAGGGCCCAAGGGGGCTGGAACCCTGACCCAGTGGGCCCCAGAACCCTTCGCCGAATTCCACCCCTTGCCCATCCACATGCCAGGAGCGGGGTGGATGTCTGCCCAGGATCAAGCCCCACGTCTTCTGTACCTCCTTTGGGACCTGGGAAGGGAAGAGAGAGGAGGGTCAGATCCCCAGGATGGTGAAGGGGCTCAGGCCTGTGGAAGCCAGGGGGTGCTAAGGGCACTGGGATGCTGGTGGTGGGGAGGGGCGTGGGCTCTAAGAGCTAAAAGTCCCAGCGTTAATAACACTTCTGCTTTGAATCTAGAAAAATGGCACAGATGAACCAGTATGCAAGGCAGAAATAGAGACACAGACGTACAGAACAAACGTATGGACACCAAGGGGGGAAAGGGGTGGTGGTGGGATGAATTGGGAGATTGGGATTGACATATATACACTAATATGTATAAAATAGATAACTAACGAGAACGTACTGTATAGCACAGGGAGCTCCACTTCGCTGTACAGTAGAAACTAACACAACATTGTAAAACAACTACACCCCAATAAAAAACAATAACCCTTCTGCTTTGGATGGCAAAGTACGGTTTACACAAAGTTTTGCCAAGGGGAGATTTTTGCCACTGCAGGTTAAGGATGGGAAAGAGAACCCCCCAGAGGTGAGATAACTTGCCCAATCTCACACTGCTGAACAGTTGAAGAGCTGGGATAAAAAACTAGGAGAGCATTTTCCATGGAGTGCTCATGTCTTGCAGGAAGTTAATAGGAGATTATTGAAACCGAGGAATGAGCACATAGAAGTTTGTAAAAAGGTGAGATAAACCAAGATATATAGGTTGCTCTCCTCCAGGGATGACCAGAACCTTTAATATACTGATGGCCCCGTGGAGCTCTGGGTTGGGGTAGAGAATACAGCCTTTCCTGGCAGGGCTGTGTCTAACCTTGGAAATGGCTTCAGGTGTGTCTGTTAACCTGGGGGACTCACAGCCTAGGAGGAGGGCAAGGCTTGTGTCTGCTTCTGTTCACGACTGAACCTCTGGAGACTGACTGGGGCCTGGCATGCAGTAGGTGCCCCGTGAATATCACTGACTATGTAAATGAATGGACAAACGGGCACCGTTTGGGAAATGCTTGTCAGGGGTTTCTCTTGGCCGGAGTCCATGCTCCCATGTGGGGAGGCTTGGGGGCCGTGGAGAAATCTCCGAGTGTGTGGGAACTGGTGTGAGTTAGGACAAGTGACCTCACCTCTCTGGCTCCCAATCTCCTTCCTCTTCATTAAAGGCGTTACTATTCGAAAGGCCTTGGGAACAATGCCTGGCCCAGAGGAAGTGCTCCCTAAGTGTTTTAGATTTTAAAAATCTGAAAAAGAAAACTGTCAGCCCTGCCTCAAAAGCGCAAAGCACCACTCCAGAAAGAGACAGGGCTGAGATGGGCAGCGAGGATTAAATTGGGAGATTGGGATTGACATATACACACTACTATATATAAAATAGATAACTAGGACTTCCCTGGTGGCACAGTGGTTAAGAATCCGCCTGCCAATGCAGGAGACACGGGTTCGAGTCCTGGTTCGGGAAGATCCCACATGCCGCGGAGCAGCTAAGCCCGTGTGCCACAACTACTGAGCCTGCGCTCTAGAGCCGGCAAGCTGCAACTACTGAGCCCACGCGCCACAACTACTGAAGCCGGTGTGCCTAGAGCCGGTGCGGCACAAGAGAAGCCACCCAATGAGAAGCCCACACACCGCAATGAAGAGTAGCCCCCCACTTGCCGCAACTAGAGAAAGCCACACGCAGCAACGAAGACCCAACGCAGCCAAAAATACATAAATAAACAAATAAATTTTTAAAAAATTAAAAAAAATAGATAACTAATAAGAACCTACTGTATAGCACAGGGAAAACTACTTAATACTCTGCAATGACCTATACGGGAAAAGAATCTTAAAAAAGTGGGGCTTCCCTGGTGGTGCAGTGGTTGAGAATCTGCCTGCCAATGCAGGGGACATGGGTTCAAGCCCTGGTCTGGGAAGATCCCACATGCCGCGGAGCAACTAGCCCTGTGAGCCACAATTACTGAGCCTGCGCATCTGGAGCCTGTGCTCCGCAACAGAGAAGCGATAGTGAGAGGCCCGTGCACTGTGATGAAGAGTGGCCCCCGCTTGCCGCAACTAGAGGAAGCCCTCACACAGAAACGAAGAGCCAACACAGCCATAAATTAATTAATTAATTACTTTTTTTAAAAAAAGGCAAAATTCCTTAAAAAAAATCTGGATATATGTATAAGTACAACTGATAAACCTTGTAAGTCAACTATATTCCAATTAAAAAAAAAAAAGGAAAAAGGAAAGAGACAGCGGTGTGGAGGCAGTTGGAGGGTGTCCTGGTCCTGGGGCAGGTGGTGGGGTGGGGTGTGCAGTGGTCCCAGGGGTGAGGCCATGGGGAGAGCAAGAGTGGCTGGGGGACCAGCTGGGCACGCACGGAGTAGATGACAAAGCCGATGGTCTGCAGCTGGGCTCCCTGGGGCCGTGCCCGCCGCCAGTTCTTCTGCATCAGGGCCACCAGGCAGGTGCAGACGGCTTCGTCGTCCTCTGGGGCATCATCCTCCTCGGGGAGAGAGATCTTAAACTGTGGGTTGGTCCAGAATGTGTCTGTGGAGGAAGCAGGTCAGGATGGCCCTGCCCTTCCCAGGGTGGACGGGCTTCCCAGCCAAGTGCCCGCCTCCTCAACGGGGCCCAGGTGTGCGGTGAGTCAGTGGCCCAGCCCTTGCTCCCTGCTCCCCTGAGTCCCCTCGCCCACCAATGTAGCTCCGGCAGCCCCCTGCAGTGCTGCCCCTCCTCCAGCTGCCCTCGTAGAAGGTGGTGTGCCAACACCTCTTGTAGTCCCCACAAAGCGTGTCGGGTATCAGGTTGCAGATTTCCAGGAGCGTGAAGTTGTCCAGGAAATCTCCGTAGGACATCCTGTGGTGGAGGGGAGCGGCAAGAAGCCCGCGCGCCTAGAGCCCGTGCTCCACAACGAGAAGCCACCCAATGAGAAGCCCACGCACCGCAATGAAGAGTAGCCCCCCACTTGCCGCAACTAGATGGGCCAGAGCCCATCAGCAGCACACCCACACCTGTAGGCGACCCCCAGAGCCTCTCCATCCAAGGCACAGGTGGGACAGTGGCAGGAGAGATGAAGGGACTGGGTATGGGGACAGAAGGTGGTCCTTCTCAAGCGGTGCTGACCAGAACTCTCCGTCCTCCTTCCTGTGCAGCAGCTGCCTCTGGACGTCTGGGGCCACCTCTTCCCACTCCTTGGCACTGGAGCAGAGACAGGCAGTGGAGGGCCAGGGGGTCGGGAGGCACCTCGGTCCTCCCCCAGGGATGCCCTTACCCCTGAATGTCTGCCTACTGGGGGTCCTGGTTAGATGGAGAATCTAGAGGGGAAGGGCTCACACTGGGCGCAGGTGACCGGATGCCAGTCGGTCCCTCTGTGGCATGGCCTTGCTCGTGGGCCTGCTCTGTGCTCTGCCCCTCCCCCCAGAGGGCTGGTCTGGCACCTACTTGTCACTCCAGGCTCCATTCCACTCAATCCGGCCCCAGGGATTCCGGACCCGAATCAGTGTTTCCATCCTGCCGCGGTACAGGACCTGGGGGGGGGTGTGGGCAAAGGTTAGGAGCGTAGGGTCACAGAAGTTCTCCTCCTGTCCCTCTGGGTGGGGTGTAGTGGTCAGACTCACATCCTGAAGGCCGGTCACTGAGTAAGCATGTCCTTTCACCAGCATCCTTTCCGTCAATGACTCCAAGTCACTTTGGCTGTTGATCTACGCAGAACGGAGAGGAAGGAAAGGAACTCAAGGTCTGGTCAGAGGGATGGGGGCACCTGAAGTGAGGTGACAACACTCTGAGTTCATTTTTTTTTTTAAATTAAACTTTGTATTTTCAAATGATTGTAGACTCACACGCAGGTTTCTTTGTTTTTTGTTTTTGTTTTTTTTAGTTGTGGGAAGGGGAATCTTTTAGTTGCAGCAGGCAGGATCTAGTTCCCTGACCAGGGGTTGAGCCCGGGCCCCTGCATTGGGAGCCCAGAGTCTTACCCACTGGACCACCAGGGAGCTCCCTCACTAGCAGTTTTAAGAAATAATACAGAGAGATACGTGCACCCCATATCCAGTATCCCCCAGTGGTAACATCTTGCAAAACTATAGCACAATATCATGTTTTTTCTTTTTTGGCCGTGTCACGCAGCATGCAAGATCTTACATTCCCAATGAGGGATCGAACCCTTGTCCCCTGCAGTGGAAGCGCAGAGTCCTAACCACTGGACTGCCAGGGAATTCCCTATAGCACAATATCAAAACCAGGATGAAGATGTTGACACAATTCGTCAGTCTTATACAGATGCCTCCACTTTTACTCGTACCCATTTATGTATGTTTTATGCATTGTTATCATATGTGTCATATCATATCATATGATATGATACATATCATATCATATGATACATATGTATCATATGTATCATATCATATGTATCATATCATTTCTGTATCCACCACCATCATCACAATATAGAACATTTCCATCACCAGTAGCATCCCTGGTGTTGCCCTTTTATAAGCAACATCCACCTCTTATGACCCTCTTCCCTAACCTCTGACAACTCCTAATCTGTTCTCCATTTAAAAAAATTTTGTCATTTCAGGACTGTCATATAAATGGAATCATACAGTATGGAATCTTTCGGGACTGGCTTTTTCCATGCAGCATAATTTCCTTGAGATTCATCCAAGTTGTTTTGTGTGTCAGTAGTTCATCTCTTCTTATTGCTGAGTAGTATCCCCTGGTGTGTATGCACCTGTCCAACTAGTCACCCTTTGAAAGACATCTAAGTTGTTTCCAGGTTCTGGTTATTATGAATAGAGCTGCTTTGAACACTTGGGTACAGGCTTTTGTGTGGACATAAGTCTTCATTTCTCTGGGATAAATGCCCAAGAATACAATTGCTGGGTCTTACAGTAGCACTCTGGGTTCATTTATTTATTTGAACAAATATGTGTTGGGTATCTATTGCATGCCAAGTACCATCTTAAGTCCCAGGACCCAGCAGTGAATGAGACAAATAAAGTCACTGTCTTCATGGAATATGAAAACTGTCTGGAGAAGAGTTGTGAATATACACGTCGATAAGTAAGACAGTTTCTGATCATGATAAATGTTGGGGAGAAAATCAAAACAAAGTAGAGAGGAAATGGGGGGCAGGAGTGGCTAATTTAGAAGGCTAGCCTGAGGAAGGGCCATTTGAACTAAAAGATGAATGAGAAGGAGCTAGTTATGCAGGTATTTGGAGAAAGAACTTTCTAGGTGAAAGCAACAGCAGGTGCAAAGGCCCTGAAGCAGGACCAAGCACGGCTTACTTCGATGGAGCACCCCATGAGGGATGATCGCTCTATGGCCTTTCTAAGCATCCTCAGCAGGTTCGGAGGGGGCTTCCGGAGTTGGAAGCTCTGGGTCACGCCCCCCGTGAAGTCCTCAAAGCCCTCCACCGTGTTGCCCCCTGACAGGGCTTCATAGGATCCGTTCAGCCTGTGGGCACAGAGAGGGCACCGTCTGGGCTCTGGGATGCAGTTGTGAACTTGGACCTCAGAGGGTGAGGTGAGGGAAGGGAGGGATGCCCTGCCGTCCCCCTGCCTCTTCCCCTGATTCCAGTTGCTCCCCTACCCCCCGTCACTGCCGACTGTCAGAGCAAGCCTGGAGGCCAGGCAAATCGCCAGGCTGGGGGACTCACTTGGCGTATGCCTTCTCCAGCAGGGCACTCCAGAACTCGGTGCGCTCGGCTGAATGCACGAACACCAGCTTGCCATTCTTTGTGGGCAGCCGGTCATCCACCACCACGTCCATCCACTGCCCAAATTGCCAAATCTGCGGGCGGCAAGGTGGGTCTCGGCGGGGCGTGGGGCATCTGTATGCCCCAGGCCCCCTTCCGAGCTCAGACACACATACATGCGCGCACGCGCGCGCGCGCGCACATCCTCCCTCCCTTCTTGCATGAAGACTCTGTTACACGAGCGCCTCCTGGTGTCAGGTTCAGTGACACACCAGTAACAGAGGGCCCCCCACCCCGCCGCCGCCGCCGCCAAAGAAAGGCAGTGAAAGGCCTGAACCTCCCCCCAGCCTCACCTCCATGTTCTGCCATGGCCTCCAGAGAGACCCACCCACCTTTTGACCTTGGCTGGACTTTTAGGACTTCTGAGGTCTTAAAAACTCTTGTGACTTTCAGAAATATTTTTATGACATGAGGAATTTGTCCACATGTTGAAATATTTGAAGAGCAGATTACAAAAATTACATGACAGAAACTCCCAATGTCATATGCGCACATACACATACACACACGTATACGTGCATATACATATGTGAGTGTATCTACCGAGAGAAAGACAGAGACAGAGAGAGAAGCAGGAGGAAGAGGAGGAGGAGAATGAATCACAAACTGATAACAACTATTTCCTTTGGCGGCTTTAAAAAATTAGCTTAGGGCTTCCCTGGTGGCGCAGTGGTTGAGAGTCTGCCTGCCGATGCAGGGGACACGGGTTTGTGGCCCGGTCCGGAAAAATCACACATGCCGCAGAGCGGCTGGGCCCGTGAGCCATGGCCGCTGAGCCTGCGCGTCCGGAGCCCGTGCTCTGCAACGGGAGAGGCCACAACGGTGAGAGGCCCGCGCACCAACAAAAAAAAAAAAAAAAAAAAAAAAAAAAAAAAAAAAAATTAGCTTACACAATTTCTTTAGTGAGAGGATATTTCTCTGATAATTAGAGAAAAATCCACCCTAATAAATGTTGTTTTTTTCAAAAAGGAAAGAAAAAAGGTAAACTTCAAAGCATGTACTAATTCTTTCTCTCTCTCTCACACACACACACCCCTCATACACAAATCAGCTCTGGCTTTCAAATCGCCCTTCACCTGAAAATGGAAGATACCAGCATAGTTTTTCTTGAAGCTCTGCCCCCTGGGCACCACACGGTACAGCAGTTCGGGGTACACCGTAAGGGAGCCGATGGCAGCCAGCAGCCAGCAGTCCCCTGGAAAGACAGAAGGGCGCCCCGTTTGAGCACTCCCATGTGTGTGGGTCCCAGAGTCCAAGCCCCAGAAGATCAGGAGCTGCTCTGTGGCCCCCTCCCCGATGCCCTCCCACTGCAGAAGGGCCAGCTCTGGGGGTGAGTTCTCCACCTTTCCTCTGAGGCGAGAGACTCACAAATCAGAGCCAGACGTTCTTGTTCTGGGATTTGGGGAGAAGGTGTTTTTGGCCTTGGTCTTACTCCTCCCTCTGGGACCTGCCATCTTTGGGGGACAGCCAATCGTCTCCTGTCCCTTGAACAAGGCCAATCCCCTTCCCCATGGCCCCCCACCTCTACCCCATGATTACAGTGGTGTGGTGACCAAGACGGCTCTCCTTGTTGTCAGTCCCGTAATACTAGAGATCCAAGGGGCTCAGTCTGTACCCACACTGGGACACAGGGGCAGGATTCTTGGGCTGAGGTCACCTGTTGCCATCTCTCCTGGGGAATCTCAGACCATGGGTGGGGCTTGGGGCAGGGTGGTACCCTGAGGGGGTACATGGGCCAGGCTGCGGCTGAGGGCACTGGCAAAGCTTCCGTGATTACCAAGGCCTTCTGGCTGCCTGAGGAACACTTGGAGGCGGGTAGAAGGGGGGAGAGGAATGTTAAGGACACTCTCGTCACCATCGTGGAAAGGGCACCTAGGGAGAAGCAATTTTTCCTCCGGTAACCCTGGGCCCTCCAGCTCAGTGAGCCCCAGCGGCAGCTGTGGGAACTGCTGTCTCCGTGGCCTCTGCCCTACCCACACCCTGCCCTCTTCTCTGCCACAAATGGGACACAATTCAGCCCAGAGGAAGCCCACCCTGGCCTTCTTCCTTAAGATGCAATGAGGGGTTTGGAGGAAACCGGGGAATAGGACCAGGCTTAGGGAGGAAGCTCTCTCTGGGGGCTGTCCGTGGGAGCCTGCGGGAGAGTGGCCGCTCCTTTACCTGATACCCCAGACTTGAGGAAGTCGTGTCACTTGCAGTGGTTAGCGGAAGCCTAATTCCCCTCTCCTTGACCTTAGGCCGGATTGCGAGCTTGCTTTTTCTTTTTTGCGGTATGTGGGCCTCTCACTGTTGTGGCCTTTCCCGTTGCAGAGCACAGGCTCCGGACGCACAGGCTCAGCGGCCATGGCTCACGGGCCCAGCCGCTCCGCGGCACGTGGGATCTTCCCAGACCGGGGCACGAACCCGTGTCCCCTGCATCGGCAGGCGGACTCCCAACCACTGCGCCACCAGGGAAGCCCCCGAGCTTGCTTTTAACAGCAGAACATGAGCTTGCTTTTAACAGCAGAACATGGGGAAGTTACCGCCTGCTTCTCCTGAGACCAGGTGGTGAAGGCATTTGGGCTTCCTCTTGTTCTCTCTCTCGGGCCGCTCACTCAGTGGGAGGCCAGCTACCATGTGTGGACACTTAAGCGTCCTACGGAGAAGCTCATGTGGCAAGGACCTGGGGCCACCTGCCACGTGAGTGCACCATCTTGGAAGGGAATTCTTCAGCTCCTGTGGCACCTCATGAGAGAAACCCTGAGCCAGACCAACCAGGCTATGCTGCGTCCTAATTCCTGCCCCGGAGAAACTGTGAGATGATAGATGTTGGTTGTTGCTTTCAGTCACTGACTCTTGGAGCAACTGATAACTAATATAGCACCCTGCTTACTCCCAGACCCAGATGGCAGCAGGTAGGGGTGGAGTCCGGATTAGGGGAGGAAAAGGGACACAGAAGAGCTGTCTGAACCCAGGGCTCCCAGTCCCCCAGCCTCAGGAGACACCCTGGCACTCTCGCAATTCACCCCCTGCCCCCAGGTTTGCTGCCCCCCACTCACCGAGCACCCCCTGGCAGATGTCAGTCGGGCTGACCCCATTCACAATGAATTGAGGATTGCTTGTGATTTGCTGCAATGAAGGAATAAAAGTTTCAGAGAGCCCAGGACACCCCCCTCCCAAGCTCCCTCCCACTTCCCTGGGGAATGCTGCTGTCTCTTAGAGTTCTAGGGGAAACATGGATGGGGGCGCGGCAGGGGGAACTTGGCCTAATTGTAGGCTGGGATGGCAAAGGTCAGTGAGTGACCTTCCCAGGGGTTTTCTGAGAGGTTTTACTTAAGCCTGTCCCGAACCGTCCCCTGCCTTGTTGGAAATGGAGTCTAGTACAGAGCCAAGATAGGGCGGTGGGGGATTGGAGATTATCCAAGTGACTGGGACGTCACTACTACCCCCACCCCCCATGAGTTCATGCCTCCCTTCCCAGTGCCCACACGGGGCCGCTGCCAGCTGATGTTCTGCACGTGTTTGGAGTTGGGGCCCAGTTCCTTGAAGCCCAGTGAGCTGGGTTCAGCAGGGAAAAAGGGGTCCTTGAACAGCTGCCCCTTCCGTAGGCAGAGTGCTCGCAGCTCCTCAAAGCTCTGGTTGTTGTAGTTCTGGGCGTTGTGGTGCTGGCCCATGCCCTTGGCCTTGAGTCGGTTCTGGCTTATGTGAGCCGCCATCCCCTTGTTGGTGAAAACGGTCTCCGCTGAATAATAAAAAGACAAATAACCTAATCAAAAAATGGACAAAGGATCTGAATAGGTGTTTTTCTGAAGAAGATACACAAGTGACCGATAATCACATGAAAAACTGCTCCACATCCTTCGTCAACAGACAAATGTAAATCCAGGTCACAATGAGATACTACTTCACATCCACTAGGATGGCTCTAATCCAAAAGACTGGTAATAACAAGTGCTGGCGAGGGTGTGGAAAAATTGGAGCCCTCGGGCACTGCTGCTGGGGATGTAAAAGGGTGCAGCCACTTTGGAAAACAGTCTGGCAGTCCCTAAGTTAAACACAGAATTGCCATGTGATCCAGCAATTTCACCTCTATGTATATATACTCAAGAGAAATGAAAATATATGTCCATACAAAAAATTCTGCACAGGGCTTCCCTGGTGGCGCAGTGGTTGAGAGTCTGCCTGCTGATGCAGGGGACACAGGTTCGTGCCCTGGTCCAGGAAGATCCCACATGCCGCGGAGCGGCTGAGCCTGCGCATCCGGAGCCTGTGTTCCTCAACGGGAGAGGCCACAACAGTGAGAGGCCCGCGTACAGCAACAACAACAACAACAAAAATTCTGCACAAATGTTTATAGCAGCAGCAACACTCGCAATAGCCGAAAAGTGGAGAAAACCCCAAATGCCCATCAGCTGATGAATGGACAAGCAAAATGAGGAATACACGTACGGTGGAATATTACTCACCAATAAAAAGACATGAAGTACTGAGACATGTTACGACATGGATGAACCTTGAAAACATTATGCTAAGTGAAGACAGCAGTCTCAAAGGATCACATATTGTATGATTTCGATTATGTAAAATGCCCCAATCAGGCCAATATATATAGAGACAGGAAGTATAATCGTGGTTGCCTAGTGCTTAGAGGGCTGGGGGATTGGAAGTTGATAGCGAAAGGGTACGGGGTTTCTTCTGCGGGGGAATGAAAAGGTTCTAAAGTCGATTGTGGTGATGGTTGCACAACTCCGTGAATGTACTGAAAACCACTGATTGTGCACTTTAAATGGGTGAATTGTATGGTATGTGAGTCATAGCTCAATAAAGCTGTTTAAAAAAAGTGACCTCCAGACCATGCAAACAGACACTGCCTTTTGGGAAGAGTGGAAATAATGGAGTGCAGCGGGCAGGAGGGCAGAGGGGAAGGGGCTGCTCGCGGGGGAGGGTCCAGTTAGGGAACGACCCAGTGGGTGGGGTAGCTGGGTCTCTGAGAGGAAAAGTCAGGCCGGCTGACAGGTCCTGAGTCAGCTGGCAGCTGGGGACCCAGGATCCCTCCTCCCCCAGAGGGACTGCAACCTCTTACACCCTTCCTGAGTATGCCTGCCCACACCTGTCAGCCCTCTGTGGGACTGACTCCCCACTGCCACCAGCAGGGGACCCAGGAGGAGAGCGTGGAGGAGGGGCGAGAAGAGCGGAGGTCCACTCTGAATCTCCAGTCCTACCCCACCCAGGCACCCGGGGCCTGCGTCCCCCCATCTCCCCACATTCTCAGCTGCCTCTGGAATAAGGAAGTGCTTGGGGGAAGGGAGGAAGGATGTGGTCTAAGTTAAACAGAGCCCAGTTGGGGCCGGGGTGTGGGAGGAATCCAGAGTGAGGAAAAGAAGGGGGGCAGCTGCAGAGGGGGGAGCAGGGGGTCTCAGTTACGCTTCCTCCCTCGAGTGGACAGGCGAGAAGAGTTAGAACAGCAGAGATAACAGTCCTGAGCGCCTGCACTGTGCAGGGCCCCGAGAGAGGGCCACGCGGTGCCCACGGTGACCGGAACAGGAAGCCTGAGCTCAGAGGTCGGTAGTGGGTCGAAGGTCACAGAGTGAGGGCTGGGGTGGACTAAGCCTGACCGCAGACCCCAGATTGGGCTTGTGACCTTCACCCTACACTGCCCTGGAAGGAGGTGCCTCTCCCCCGTGGGAAGGCCTGGGGACCCAGAGCCATCTCCCCATCCTAGTCAACTAAGGAGGTCACGGGCCATGTGTAGCTCAGCTTATCTGATACCCCCTTACTCTTCCCATTACCCAAGCAAGCAAACCCTTTCTCCCATCCCTCACCCGCGTCTCCTGGGACTTCTCTGGGTCCAGGAATGGCTCCCGTTCCCTCCACTTATTAGCCTGACAAACCCACACAGGTTGCCACGCACCAGCCCAGTGCCTTGGAGCACAGGCTGCCTTTGTTCTTCAGCTGCATTGACTGTTCCTGCCCTGGTGCCTCTGCTTGGAATCATTCCTCATCCCACACACACATCTGTCCACTGGGAAAGTCCTGGCTCAATGCCACCGGCTCGGCGAAGCCTCCCCTGACGCCTGGGCAGAGTCGGGGCTGCCCTGGTGTCCAACACTCTCCTTTATTATGACACCCATCCCTGCCTGGCCTGTCTGTCCCCCGCCCCCCCACCGAGGTGATGAGCTCTCAAGGGTGGAGGTGGGGTCCCCTGTCCACTGCTGGGTTCCCTCAGTCTTACACTGCACCTGACCCAGCAGGGGCTCAGAAACGCTTTCAGGGGATGAATGAGTGACTGTCTGTTTTGCAGACAGTAGTAATTTTTCATCTATGTTTGCAAATCTATGTTTTCTCTCTCCTGCCCCGCTCCCCAACTCCCTGTTCCACTCTAGCTCCACATGTATTTTGTTTACTGGTTGCCTCCCTCATAGAATGAATGCTCACGCAGGCAGGGATTTTGGTCTGTTTTGTTTGCTGCTGTATTCCTGCTGCTGTATTGTGTACATAGTAGGTGATCAATAAATATTTTGGGGCTCCCTGGTGGCGCAGTGGTTGAGAGTCCGTCTGCCGATGCAGGGGACGCGGGTTCGTGACCCGGTCCGGGAAGATCCCACATGCCGCGGAGCGGCTGGGCCCGTGGGCCATGGCCGCTGAGCCTGTGCGTCCGGAGCCTGTGGTCCGCAACAGGAGAGGCCACAACAGTGAGAGGCCCGCGTACCGCAAAAAGAAAAAAAATATATATATATATTTTGAAGGATGTTCTTGGCAGTTTCTGTAGGGAGGAGGTCGGTGTATCTCAGTTTCTCCCACAGGAAGAGGGTCCAATAACAATCTGTGAAAGGAATGGGTGGGCGTGTGGTTCATCCCTGGGACGCCCCCATCCATTAGGGGGAGCCCCCTAGCAGGTGCCCAGTAAATGGTGGGACCTGCAGACTCCAGTCCAGCACTGTCCACAGGCCATGTTTGGGCTGGGGACCAAAAAGGGCCCAGCTCAGCCCAGGAAAGCCAGAGTGTTGGTGCAGGGAATGACAAAGGTCTTGGCTACAGCAGAGAGGTCTCTCTGGGGTCCCTTGGGGTCCCTGAGGCCTGGAGGCTTCTGGCCCCCACTAAGAAAATTTCATTGGCTGTAAGGATTAGGGTGAGTTTGCTGAAGAAAAACTTGGAATCCCGTCCTTTGCTTCTTCCATAAAGCCTGTAGCTTGTGATGAGAAGATAGTAGGAATCCTCCCTCAGTTATGAAAGTAGCTAGCACTTACACAGCATTTGTAAAAGTAATAATAATTAACAGAGTTTGAGGACTCAGCGCATGCCTGCATGGCTCTAAACACTTTACGTGCATTAACTCATTGAATCCTCACAACAGCCCTGTTAGTTAGGTTTATTATTATCGTCTCCCTGCTTCAGAGGGAGAAACTGAGGCACACAGGCTGAACTTCCTCAAGGCTGCACACCTGGCTGGCAGCAGAGTCAGGGTCACACCTAGGCAGGCTGGTCCATGCTCTCACCCATTACCCTTACTCCCTTTCAGGGAGGGAGCCTCGGTGGAGGGGCAGAGGCTGTGCTGGAGAGAAGGACAAATGGTCAGCAGGTCTGGGGCCAGCCCTTCTTCCATCTTACTACAGCCTCTAGGTGGCCTTTCTTAAGCTCCTTCCCTGGGCTGGGAGGAGAGGTTGAGGATGGTGTTGGAAAAGGGGTCAGGAGGTAGCTTATTTCCCTTTAGCAGAGCTAGTGCCCTGGGCTGCACCAAGCCAGAGTGGGTAGCTGTGTGACCTTGGGCAAGTTGCTTTACATCTCTGAGCCTCGGTTTCCTCATTTGCATGAAGAGGTTGCTATATCCTATCTTGAAGTATGTATCAGGATTAAATAATGCAACATACATGAAAAAGACAGGTGTTCCATAGGTGCTCAGACAATGTTAGTTGTCTTCTCCCCGCTGATCTGGCTGGTCAACTAGTTAGTATTTATTGAGCTCCTAGCAGGATCACATAGCCCCCTGCATACCCCTCTGTCACAGGACTTAATGAGCATAAGGACAGGGTCCTGAGAGGAAGGACAAAGAACATCCCTAAGAGAGAAGAGAATCCAGAACTTGTTTTGTTTCACTGCTGGGTCCTCACCCCATGTTGCCAGCCGACCCAGGGCCCGCCCAGAGAAGGTAAGTCAGCGGTTCTCACCGAGGGGTGGGGGGTGATTGCATCCCCAGGGAACACTTGGCGATGTCTGGAGACATTTTTCATTGTCCTAACAGGGGACTGGGGTGTGGGAGCTACTGGCATCCAGTGGGTAGAGGCCGGGATGCTGCTAAACATCCCACAGTGCACAGGACAGACCTTACAACAAAGAATTATCCTGCCCCCAAACGTCAAGAGTGTGGAGGGTGAGAAACCTGGACTAAATGAATGGCCCAAGACCCCGCACGGTGAGGGAACCCTCCGTGCCCTTCCACCATGGGGCTGCCCTCTGCCCGGCTGCCCCCAGGAGTGAACATGCCGAGCTCTCCAGGGGTTCTGGAAGGACCACAGAAGGTGCTGGTGTCTAAGAAAATTGGAGAACATCTGAGGGCAGACCAAGGCAGGCGATGAGGGTTAAATGTCACCTCCCTCACGTTCCGGGAGCCGTCCGTCCCCGGACCATCACCCAGCTGAGGAGCGATTGCTCACTGTCCTGACTCCAAACCTGCTAAGGTCCTGCATGCTCCGTCGGCCGGGTCTGCGCTTCTGACTCAGTGGCTGGCAGGGAGGACTCACACACACACACACACACAC